GCTCTACGGTTTAGGGTTTAGGGTTTAGGGTTTAGGGTTTAGGGTTTAGGGTTTAGGGTTTAGGAGATGGATGCCAGGGTAGTTATGGGTGTAGGAGGTTTAGGGTTTAGGGTTTGGGAGATGTATGCCAGGGTAGTGATGAGTGCAGGGGGTTTAGGGTTTAGGGTTTAGGGTTATCCTATTACCCCGCCCCCAACATCTCCCTTTCACCGTCTGCTGCTTTAGGCTTTAGGGTTTAGGGTTTAGGGTTTAGGGTTTAGGGTTTAGGGTTTATGTTTTGCATGCAGGAGATGGAAGAGGTGCTTGGAGTGACATATCAGCGCAATGAACAAGGGAGGTGTTGGGTAGCATATTACTTAGAGGCTGTCTCTCCTACCTCGAGCCCACCTTCCAGCAGCAGCAGCAGCAGCAGCAGCAGCAACAGCAGCAGCAGCAGCAGCAGCAGCAGCTGCAGCAAGGGAGAACAGAGGTATCGGGTAGGGATTCGCCGATTTCCTGTTGGTGAAGAAGGCTTTGAAGCAGCAAGACAAAAAGCTGTTGCTCTTGTTAAAGCACACCCTTTACCTCCTTCTCTATTTCAGGTGTATGATAGAGATGTAATGGAGCGTCTTGCTGCTGCTGCTGCTGCAACAGCAACAACAGCAACAACAGCAACAGCAGCAGCAGCAGCGCAGGCAACAGGAACCTCGAATACTACCACGACACAACCGTCTGCTCTTGCTACTGCTGTTGCTGCAGCTGCTGCAGCAGCTGCAGCAGCAGCAGCAGCAGATACGAAGCCAGGGGCAGATGCAGCAGCAGGAGTAGGAGAGGGCTATCAAAAGCTGCTGAATACGCCTATTCGTCTAGCAAATACTTTTGCTTCAATGCCGTCTTGTACATCGCATGCAGCACAATTAGCAGCAATGGAGAAGAGGCTGCAGCTGCTGCTGCGGGGAACAGACCCCGCAGTCGCCTGGGCAATTGCTGCTGAAGAATTGGGAAAGTATCAAAGCAGAAGCAACGCAGCTGCTGCTGCTGCTGCTGCTGCCGCTGCAGCGGGTGCTGCGGTGGGTGCGGTGAAGGACGAAGATGTAACTGCTGCAGCAACTACAGCAACATCAGCAGCAGCAGCAGCAAATGCAACAACAGCAACCGATCGCACCCTAACGCCTGCGCCAATAGCTACACCCAAGGATGATGCTTCATGCAGGTTCGGGTCTATTCCAGCTTCTGCTGCTGCTGCTGTTCCTGCTGCTGCTGCTGTTCCTGCTGCTGCTGCTGCTGCTGGTTTGCTGCTTGGTGTTGCTGCTGCTCTTTTCGCTCCTTAACGGTGTCATTGAGAGTGGGGCTTCCGATCGCCGCTGCTGCTGCAGTTGCTGCTGCTGGTGCTGCTGTTGCTGCTGCTGCAGTTGCTGCTGCTGCTGCTGCTGCATTGGGTTTCTTTTACTCCAGCTGCTGTCGTTTTTTTATTGTTGCTGTTGCAGGCTGCGAAATTCGGAGGAAGGCAATGCCCGTGTTGTTGCTGTTGCTGCTGCTGCTGCTGCTGAAGACGTGGCATGTGCAGCAGCAGCAGGTGCAGGAGCAGGAGCAGGAGGCTGTGCGTCTCCTTCTTCGTGTGTGGCTCCAGCCCCCGGCGCAGCAGCAGCAGCAGCAACAGCAACAGCAACAGCAACAACAACAGCAACAGCAACAGCAGGAGGAGCAGCAGGAAGCGGCGGTGATATGGCATGCGAGGATTTGTGTTTGTGGGGTGGGGAGTTGGATCCCTTGCTGGATACGGGATCGGGAGACGACGATCCCCGTGAAGCACGGGAGCAGCTCCTCCCTAAGATAGGCGGGGTTTATTATAAACGCGACGGTAATTATAAAGCCTGGGCTGCAAGCTGGCATATTAAGGGGAAGCGCGTCAGGCGGTACTTCACAGTTAAGAAGCATGGGTATAGGTGCGTCTCCTTCTGTCTCCTTTATCGTTTTGCTGCTGCTTCGGCTTGCTTTCGTCTGTCTTCTTTTGTCTTGTTTATTGTTTTGCTGCTGCTTCGGCTTGCTTTCGTCTGTCTCCTCCTGTCTCCTTTTGTCTTGTTTATTGTTTTGCTGCTGCTTCGGCTTGCTTTCGTCTGTCTCCTTTTGTCTCCTTTTGTCTTGTTTATTGCTTTGCTGCTCCTTCGATTCGCTTATCTGTCTCCTCCTGTCTTCTCTGTTTTGCTGCTGCCTCCTTGCTTCAGCTGCTGCTGCTGCTGCTTTTGTTTGTTTGCCTCCTTTTGTCTCCTTTCTTCTGCTGCTTCGGCTGCTGCTGCTGCTGCTGTTGGTGCTGTTGTTTGCTTACCTCCTTTTTATGTGGATACAGACGAGCGACCGTCTCCTTTTGTCTTTCTTTGTCTCCTTTTAATATCCGTTTGTCTCTTGTTATATATATCTTATTGAACTGCAACTTAATAGAAATAATTTATCATTATTATTATTATTATTAAAATAATTATAAATATATTATATTAATTATGTTTTATTGTCTTCATTCTGTTTATTACTTTCTATAGGAATGCTTACCTTCAAGCAGTAAAAGCGAGAAGAGAGGCAGAGCAGCAAGACGGCATATGTGTGAAGCAGCGGCAGCACTTGCAGCAGCACGTTCCTCTCTACAAGCAGCAGCAGCAGCAGCAGCAGGAAGAGCACCAGCAGCAGGAGGGACACTTGCAGCAGCAGCAGCAGCAGCAGCAGCAGCAACAGCTGCAACAGCAGCAGCAAGCCACTGCCCCGCCTTCATCTGATTCAAGTCTAGCAGATGGAGCAGACGGAGACATGCAAAAGGAAGACGGGCTCTCTTTCCCGCCAGCAGCAGCAACAGCAGCAGCAGCAGCAGCAACACCGGCAGCAGCAGCACCAGCAGTAGCAGCAGCATGTCCTACGGCTGGTTCTGCTGCTGCTGCTGCTGCTGCTGCTGTGGGTGAGCCTCAGGGTCTCCTGCCCTCTCTGTGTAACGATCGTGCAGGATTTGCTGCGGAAAGCAGCAACAGCAATAGCAGCAGCAGCAGCTGCAGCTGCTGCTGCTCTAAATATGCCGACGTTAGCGCTTGCTGCAGCACCAGCAGTACCAGCCGCAGCAGCAGCACCAGCAGCAGCAGCAGCAGCAGCAGCAGGCAGGGAGAGATAGATTGGAGGGTGGCGAGTCCGCTGCAGCGTGCAGCATGGGCCTTAGGGTGGCAAGCAGAAGAATTGCTGCTGCTGCTGCAGCAGCAACTGCAGCAGGGAGCTCAGCTGCCGCAGCACGTTGAGCTCGTCTTAACCAGGGAGGCGCTGCATGCACTGCTGCTGGACCTCTATGCGTAAGCTGTCTTTTTGCTGCTGCTGCTGCTGTTGCTTCTGCTGCTGCTGTTGCTGCTGCAGGTTCCTCTGTCGTGGATATATATATTATATGCAGATATTATATATCTGTGTGCTTGCTTGTATATGCTTGTATATATTGTTTGATTATTTGCATGTCAATATATTTGTTTATTTGTCTATTTATAATAAATAAATAAATAAATAATTATTAAAACCTATTTATTTATTTATTTATTTATTTGTTTATAGGCATATCTCTCGCTTGACAGGGATGGATTTGGGCGGTGTTTATAACGGATGGTTTGCTCTGTCGGGGTGTATAGCCACATCGTTATATCAGCAGAATTTGCTGTTGCAGCTGTACGTGCTGCATAGAGTTGTAAGCTCTGTAAGGTGTAGCAGCAGCTTAGAGGAGTTAAACGGCCTAAAGGAATTGTTTGCTGCTTCATTTTGCTTCGGTCTACTTCCTTCAGAGCTGCCTATATCTCGTGTACGCAATTTACTCTTTTGTCTTTGTAAAAGCTCTCTCTTTTGGTTGTCAAAAGAAATGTATTTACCGGAGCAGCTGCTCCTATCTCCTGCACACGTACACCCTGAGGTGTACATGCAGCAAAAACAAGAAGATACACACACAGCGCAAACACATATGCATATACAGCAGCAGCAGCTGCTGCAACAGCAACAGCAACAGCAGCAGCAGCAGCAGCAGCAACAGCAGCAAATGCTGCTGGCGCAGCGCAAACATTGCGAACAAACGCATGCAAAACGCATGCAGGAGACACCGGAAGATGCTGCACCGAATGCACGAGGAAGACAAGTGCAGGCGCAGCAGCAGCAGCAGAAACAGCAGCAGCAAGAACCAGACCCGCAGGAAAACCCGCAGCAAGAACAGCAGCAACAGCCGCAGCAGCAGCAGCAACAGGAAGTTATTTCATCCGTCTTGGCAGCTGCAGTGCGGCGGCTGCTCAAAGCCAAAGGCGTGCACGAAGAGCCCCCTCAGCAGCAGCAGCAGCAGCAACAGCAGCAGCAACAACAGCAGCAGCAGGGGATAGGGTGCTCGTCGTTACCGGAAGTGCATAGAAAAGGAGTATTTGAGTTAAAAGGAACTGCTGCACTTTCTTTAAACAAAGAAGATGATGAATTGTCTCTGGCCCCAACCTCAGAAGAAATTGTCGCCTATGTCGTGGCACGAGAAAAAAGGGGAGCATGTGCTGCTGCTGCTGCTGCTGCTGCTGAAGCAGCAGCAGCAGCTGCTGCTGCAGCAGAATCACTTCTCTCAAATGCGCAGTGTCAGTCTCACCACGAATAGGCGAAAAGGAATGCAAGGCGTATTTATTTCAGGGAGGCCTCAGGGGTGTATCGGCACCTCTGGGGTGTATTGGCACCTCTAATGTGGATCTACATTTTTTGAGGTGTATCGGCACCTTTGAGGTGTATCGGCACCTCTGAGGTGTATAGGCATCTCTCAGGTGTATCGGCACCTTTGAGGTGTATCGGGGCGTTTGCTTCCTTCTCCGCGGTGGCGGAGACAGCTGTTCGTAGGTGCAGACAGCAGAGACCTCATGGGAATGTAGCTAGTTAGTTAGCTAGTTAGTTAGTTAGCTAGCTAGCTAGCTACCAATCTAGCTAGCTAGCGAGTTAGCTAGCTAGCTACCTGGCTAGCTGCTGCTGGCTATCCACACGACCAGCTTTGCAAACGATTTGTTTCGTATAGCTGGGGCGGAGTCAGTCAGCCAGTGGGTTGTCTGCTAGCTAGCTAGCTAGCTAGCTAGCTAGCTAGCTATTCGAAGTGCTTCTTATAAACTTCTTGGCATAACACCAAAGACAGGTGCCGCACACCGCGTGTATCTTTTTGTTTGCCTTTCTGCATGTATTTATATGCTGTGTATATATATAATATATATATATATAATATATAATATATATTTATATATAAGACTGGCGAAGTTTATTTGCTGCATTATTTGTTAAATCCTTTTTCTGTCTCTGGCTGTCTCCGTCTCCTCACAAATTACAAACGAGAAAAAGACAGACAAACAAACCTACTCTATTAGCGTAGATGCAGTGTATATATATATATACAATGCATATATATAATATATATATATAGAGCAGATTTATCTATTCAATTATGAGTAGGATAAACTAACATACAATATAATTCAATATATATTTAATAGAATATGCATATATATATATATATATGCACATGCATATATATATATATATATATTTGCATGTGTAGTTATAAATCTATATGTAAGTATACATATTTATTTATTTATAAATATATATACGTATAGTTAGTATTTGTATGGACTGTACGAAAGGAGCCAATGAAGGGATATATATATATATATATTATATATATAATATAAATATATATATTTATCTATTTATAAACATAGATACGTATAGTATATATATTTATCTATTTATAAATATATATACGTATAGTATATATATTTACATTGGTTTGGATTGATACAGAGTTTTTATTTTTATGTAAATGTTTGTCTTAGTTTGTTTTATTTAAGGGTTTGTCTTTGCTAGTGTATATGCTTGTATTGCTTTACAATCGCTCTTTACTTTTAATTTTTATTTATATATTTTATCTTCATACTTTTTTCTTAATTTGTTTGGGGCTTGCTTCTGCGTTTTTTGTGTATTTGTTTGTTCTTCTTCATTGCATTTACTCTTTTCTCTTTTTTTATGATCAATTACTGTTAATTCGTTTATTCTTCTTTATTTATATTTATATTTTATGTTTTATCTTCATATTTATATTTTTATTTGTATATATTTATATTTGTTTTTTTGTGTTTTTGTTTGTGTTAGTTGTCTCGATGAGATAGAGGGTTGCGACGCTGAAATAATAAATAATATTTATATTTATTATTATTATAAATACTACTAATTATTATTCATTATTATTATTAATAAAAAGAATAAAATATTTAACGAAGTCAAACTTAAAAATGCAAAAAAAAACAGTAGAGTCAGGAAGGTGCCTGTACACCCCAAAATGCAAAAAAAAACAGTAGAGTCAGGAAGGTGCCTGTACACCCCAAGGCGTATAGGCACATATACACCCCAATGTGTATACACGTACAATTTAGAATAGATGTACACTGCAGAGTGTACAAACACCTCAGAGCAGAGATGCATACACCGTAGAGTGTACATACATACACCCCAGAGTGTAGATGCGGAAGTATAAACCTGAAGGTTTATTTCTATACACCCGAAGGTGTACAGACACATCCTAAGGTGTATATACACCTCATGCTGTACATACACTCTAAGGTGTACATACACCCCATGGTGTGCATACACTCTATACACATACACCTTAAGGTGTAGATACACCTCGGAGGGTCGATTCACCTCAAAGTGTACATTCATGCGAACGAAGGTGCACATACACCCCAACGTGTAGAGATGCATCCCAAGCTGTACATACACCCCAACGTTTAGATACGCCTTAACAAATAGATACACCCGAAGGTGCAGATACACCCCAAGGTGTAGCTATACTCCAACGTGTGCATACACCCGAAGATGTACAGATACAACTCAAGGTGTACAGATACACCCCAAGGTGTAGATACACCCCAAGGTGTAGGTACACCCTACACTGTTGCGCAGTTTCGTTCACTTGCCCAAAGGCAGCCGAAGTATTGCGGGTCGGAGCCCTTTCTGAAGAAAGACAAAAGCAAAAGCAGAATTAGGGTTTAGCCTTTAGGGTTTAGAAGGGGTAAACACCGCCACCGCCTCCAAATAAAGCGGTGCCTCTGCGGTGCTGCGGTGCGACTGAGATTGTTTAGGGTTTAGGGTTTAGTAGGGTTTGGGATTTAGGGTTTTGTAGGGTTCAGGGTTTTGTAGGGTTTAGGGTTTAGGGTTTTACAACGCATAGAAGAATAAATTTGTTGTTGGGTGCAACGAGGAGTCGTTCGATTGGCTGCGCCGTCAGATGCTCCACCGCCTGCCGCACAAACCCTCAGCAAAACCCTAAGCCCTAAACCCTAAACCCTAAACCCTATACCCTAAATAAAGAGAGATATAGACACTTCATACTTACTCTGATTAGTTGCAGGTCTTCCGCATTGAAGAGGTACAGAGAACAGCCGCATGCAGCAATAATCACAGACCCGTCTCGCGAGTAATCTGCACACAAACCCTAAACCCTAAACCCTAAACCCTAAACCCTAACCCTGATACTTGTGGCAGTGTGGGCGGCTGCTATTGCGAGCGCTCCACAGTTCAGGGAGATGAAGCAAAAGTTTTCAGCCTCAGTCTGAGGGTTTAGGGTTTACGGGCTCTAATTAGGGTTTAGGGTTTAGGGTTTAGGGTGGGGGTCATACGCAAAGTTGTCGCCCCCTGATCCGACAAATGCACATCTTTCTCCGCAACCATCTTCGTGTCCTCACCAGCCTACGAACAGAACCCCTAAACCCTAAACCCTAAACCCTAAACCCTAGACCCTAACTTCTGAAGCGTGCGTTTTAGAGTGTATATCTCTAGGCGTATTTAAAAGGCGGAAGCGACAAATGAATACCTGCCTATACACCTGAATGCCTACGGCTTGAAAATAGGTATATAAATAAAAGAGATATGAAAGATGCAATGAGGTGTACATACACCTCACCTGATGACGGACGTCTAGACGCCACGTAGACAGATTATTGTTTTTGTTTAAAACCGCTGCTCGTCTTTGGTCAGGAGAAATACAAAAAGCAATAGAGCCGCTGGATGTGGGTACGTCAAGGGCTTTCTCTACCTGCAGCAAAACAAATGCATTAAAACTTATCACAACTCCTGCTCCTCCTGCTCCTACTGCTGCTTCTGCTGCTGCTCCTGCTCCTGCTGCTGCTGTTGCTGCTGTTGTTGGTCGCGTTGCTGCTGGTGTTGGTGTTGTTGCTGCTGTTGTTAGTGTTGTTGCTGCTGTTGGTGTTGTTGGTGTTGTCGCTCCTACTGCTGTTGCTGCTGCTGCTGTTGTTTATGCTGCTGCTGCTGCTGCTGCTGTTGCTGTTGTTGTTCGTACACCCCAAGTGTGCTGCGGTGTATCCTCACCTTTTGAAAGTTTCCGCCTTTTTCCTTCACATTATATATTTTAACTCCAGGGCTCCAAGCAGCACAACCAAATAAACTGCAGCAGCAAACAACAAACTAAATGCATGCATGCATATACTCATCAAACAAACAAAAGACAGAAGTCGCTGGGGCTGCTACGGCGAATACATGCAAAGAAAACAATATGCAGTGGCTTGCTAGCGATGAACATATTCCTAGCTAGCTAGCTAGCTAGCTAGCTATCGGGCTTCCCAGCTAGACATCCAGCAGGCAGCTAGCTAGCTAGCCAGCTAGCCAGCTAGCTAGCCAGCCAGCCAGTTACCTAGCTAGCTACTTAGCTAGCCAGCCGGCAAGCACCTATCTATCTATCTATCTATCTACCTATCTACCTAGCTAACTAGCTAGCTAGCTAGCTAGCTGGCTAGCTAGCTAGCTTGATGGTTAGGTAGCTAGCTAGCTAGCTAGCTGGTAGACCGACCATCCGTCGTCGCTGACGGAGAGTTGAAAGTTTCGAATTTGTTTGGTGTCTAAGACAGCCAGCAAATCGCCTTCGTAAGAATGAACTCTTATCTAATGCAAAACACACACAAACCCTAAACCCTAAACCCTAAACCCTAAACCCTAAACCCTAAACCCTAAGTCGTACGAACTGCAAAAGGGAAGGGTGAAAAAGGAAGGAAATAGGAAGGGTGGTGAAGAAGAAGGAACGGAGTATAAAATAGACATTATTAATATATATTTATAAATAAATTAAAATAAATAAATATTTTAATTTGAAATTACCTCAGTATCCTCGCCTTCAGACCTCGTGACTATCCACGGGCCTTTACTCGCGACCAACTCTGCAACAAACCCTCGTTGAAGAGGCTTTTTGCTGCGGTGTATCTGCAGCAGCAGCAGCAGCAGCAGCAGCAGCAGCAGCAGCAGCAGAAGCAGAAGCAGAAGCAGCAGCAGCAGCAAAATAAACATAATATGGAGACTAAGTAGGAAGATATGCTGCTCTATTTGTTATTTATTCATTGCTGCATTTGTTTATTTTATTTATTTTATTTATTTTATTTATTCTTTTATTTAATTTATATTCGCCTATCGCTGTTATTCATACAAACACACGGAGACAGATAAAAGACGAGAACAGAGACGCAAGCACATACTAAACCCTAAACCCTAAACCCTAAACCCTCATCACTCAACCACAATATCACAACATAAACACCCGAAGGCTCAAGGAAGACAGCCAGACAGCCATACGCCCCTCTAAACCCTAAACCCTAATCCCTAAACCCTAAACCCTAAACACTAAATCCTATTTATTACCTCTTTCATTCCTGTTATTTTTTTGTCCTCGAGTTTAATTTCGAAGCAGACCAATCTTCCTTCTGTCGCTGAGACAAACAAAGCCCCGTAGCTGTTTAGTTTGCCTCTGAATATCTCTTCTACTTATTTATTTAAATAATTAATAATTAATTAATCTATTTAATAACAGCAGAACAGTGTGGCTTTTGTTATTGGAGTGTATGGAAGGTGCGGATACACCTGATAAAGTGCATGCGATGCTGTAGGGTTTATTAGTGTTTACTAGGGTTTGCTAGGGTTTATTATTGTTTATTAGGGTTTATTATTG